TTGATAATAATGGCACCGCATGCAAGTTGAATAGTGGTAGCCTAGACCCTCAGGCAACCTCAGGCTGTAAAATAGCGTGTCTTAATCTAGAGATTATAGCAGAGAGTTCCAACGCTCTTTACAACAAGATTTACCCAGTTTGTTAATCGCACAAATTCGCTGGCTCAACAACAAACAGGCCAAGAGTGATTTCGATACGCTTTCAGGTAAAGAAGATTCATTGCTTTGCGCTTAGGGTATATGCGACTTACGTCCCTCACGGCTGTTGACTTAGATAATTAGCAAAAGAATCCCCACCGACGTCGTGGGCTAATGAAATGATCGAAATTCTCGAGTTTCTTATGCTTCAACATATTTAGGAATTAGTAATCAATATCCTTTGACGATCATAGGGCTAGCGTGCACTAATTAAGCGAGCAGCACACGAGAAAGCATGTCATATGATCAAATAACTGCCGTCGCGGGATAGTATACAGCATCTTATCTCTACTACTTTGTAGACTAATTGTATATATGTCCACTCTATGTTATTATTTCTGTTTTTCGGTACGGATTCCGTGTGATCCTAGAAATAACACAATACTTTGGCATTATCAGAGACGTCTCCTGTGCTTTGTCTCTCATAAAAAGGATACACGACATCCGATTCCACTCATTCCCTTTATGTCCGAGACTTTTGATACCCCTGTCTCTGTCAACGCTTCATAGGCCTGAATACTGGTTGCAGTATCTATGGCATTATTTGGGAAATTATATATGTGTCAGCACTAGCCAAGCAAGTGCCCTGAGGGGAGGGACAGCTTGTCATTTATACAGCACCCGATTCAACGGAGCAACTATTGACAGCTATAGCAGCATAGCATGCCCCCAAGATGAACATGCTACCTGTTGACAAACAGTACTATACATAGGCACCAAAGTAATCGCATTAGTCAAGGTAAGGAAGAATACGACTCATAAACTCGGGTCCCGCAGGCCACATAGGCATAGCAAGAGGAACGAGCTTGCTGAATAAAACTAGGCTTGAAGAGGGCAGGATATCCCCGCCTACCTTCGCTGCCTGATCGTTAAACCCCGGTATTTCCGAAGCCCGAGGATGTTAGAGCCACAAGGTACTTACAATGCCTAGGGCCAGCGTGAATGCGGTCCTCCGGGAGGCAGCATACGAGAAAACATCAGACATAAAATCGCCATACGATAGCACTTAAAGTGGTACTTAGCCTGTTACTTCTTTTTACACACAGCACACACCCCAGCAATGCATTCACGCCAAGCTATGCAACCACCCCCCACAAAGCCACTGGCCTTACTCAATCATACAAAAAGAGGGTATAGCCACCCACAGAAGTCATACATATTAACAGACTAAGACTTAGGTTACATGCGCTTGGCTAACATTATGACAGTGAGACTGGGGAGGTAATGTAAACACCACTGCCCGGCCGAGCTCTAACGCCACCCTTGTTACTAACTCTTCAGCTTGTCTCTCAAGAATTTGTTGATCGATTCTCGGTCAGCACAATTTTCTGAGGTCGCATCGGCTCGCATCCACCCTACTCACATTATCCTTTCTCTTCTTCCTTCCCTCTTTTCTCTCTTTCTTCTGCGCCGTCTCCATCTTGGACTGGTACCACAAAGGTGTCCTCGCCTCGAACATGCTTGTTCTTCTCGTCGGCCACCCGCTGATCTGGCCCCTTGCTTGCAATCCATCCCATTTCCGCGATACCCATCCGCATCTCTTTCCTTGCATTCTATCAATCTAAGTAAAATACTGCTTGAGTTCTCAATCCTCCTTAGAAATCCAGTTTCAATCACATCCGGCCCTCGGGCCACTCTCCAGAGAACCAACGATCCGTGCGGTGGCGATTACGCATCGACTCCCAGTCCCAATCTACCACTTGAACTGAATCTACCTGCCCTACCTGCCTAATGGCCACCTGCTGACGAAGCAATAGCGCGAAAAAGGCCTTCGCGTCATATTCGTGTCCAGTCTATTCTTGGCCCTTATCGCGCTTACGGATGTTCGCTGTTGCGCAAAACACCCACCACCACACACACCACACAACAGGTCGACACACGATCAGCACCCCCAGCCACCCCCCACCCACCCAACCCCGACACATAACCTACCACACAAAAACATCAGTTCCACCCATCTCTTAATAAACCTCCAATCATCCCCATGCTTTGGACAACCACCATGAACTCTGACCTGACACCTCCTAACCGCACAACAAAGGCACAATCGAGAGATATCGGCGGAGCCAGATGCGGTACGGACAGCATATAGAGCATGTACTAATGAGAAATGAGGATAGTAAGGTTAGATGATAGATGACTTCGTAAACGATATATCTAACGTAGGCGCGCGCAACTGGATGTACTCGTTTCACGGGGCATAAATCATCATCACGTAATACGTAAACGTCTTTATTGCGGATTCCATATAATGTTAGGTGAACAATTAATGGTCAATCATATAATAACTACGCCTCGTAAACGAAGCCGGGGAGAATAACAAAGATTTAAGAAAATATGATTTTAAGGATTTTGTTAATATATAAGCTGCTTGTTGTGTGGTGATGTGTTGTGATGGTTGTGTGTCCTTGTGTGTGTTGTTGTTGGCTATTTTATCCTAGTCACTGCATATCAGTTTTTACTATATTTGTATATGTTATTTTATTTTTAGCGTAAAGACAGGCTGTTGCTCGGCATGGTATGGTTGGTGTTTCTTAGATGATACTTAGTCTAACATTCGGATCTTGTTTTGGTTGTTTAATCCAATGAAGTAGTGAATAGTATTACTTCGTATGAATTATCATATTAGTCCGGTTTGCCTGAAGTCAGAAATAAAATTAACGCTACGCGGGGTTAATTTGCATCTTACTTGTAGTCCGATCATGTGTTCACGAACTAATTATCATTGTGTCCTCACCAGATAAGTAATTACAAGGAAACCAATCCAATTATTATATCGTAAGCTCAAATGTTTTGTCATGTTATAATTCAAGGTCTACGTCCCTTGAGTTGCTAAATCTCTTCGTGTGCCACACTGCAAAACTCGATAATCGAGAAAATAAGTCATTGGGTAAAGTGATAATTATAAAAGTTTGAGAATTGATTGGGATGTTTATTCAGAATCAAGGGTGGATAGGGGTATGAAGGGACTAAACTGGGGCGAAGGGATATAAATGTTTGGGTGAATGCGATATAGAAGAGGGAAAGAGAAGGATTGAATGAGGGGAGGTATTATCATTTTGCCTGAGTTTATAATTTTATCTGAATCTCACAGCTTTCTGGAGTGTGTGGCAATAATCGTTTAATGACGGGCTGCTATATTTAAGTCATTGTTATTATTAGCCATGCATTTGACTCATGATCATTTTTATCAGTTAAAATCATTTTGTTCACTACATGTTTTGAATTATCGTTCATAGTAACTTTCCTCATTTTCTTGTATCAAATTTGTTATCACCATGTGAATCCATTAACAATATTTATCACACTTCTTAATAATCATGTTATTATTATCTTGATTTTCATTACCTAATTATTCAGTAGACAATTATTCTCTTGCTCTCTGGTTGATACCGTATGCATTATTCAGTGTTACTAACCTATTATTGTCAATTAATGATCATTACTTTTTAGTATTATTATTCTCATTTTATTATTATCCCTATTATTCCTCATCAAAATGTATATTTATTTGACGCGATGATCACATAATATTAAATGATTAATGATAATGATAATGATATGTAATAATAATGATAATGCATAAATAATAATCGATAATGATACAAATAATACATGATATGATAATAATAATGAATATGATAATAATAATCGATAATGATAATAATAATGATATGATCATATATGATAAATAAAATAATAATAATGATCAATGATAATAATATGATAATGAATTAATGATATGGATGGAATAATGATTATATAGATAATGGCACCTCTATGTATCTCTTTGATTATCTACTTTTGTTATAGTTTAATGTGGCCTATGTGCGGACCTTATTGGAGGGTGACAGTATGCTATTTTCCATTGTCTTTCTTGTCACTTTTGCTGTCTCTGTCCCTAAAATAGTCAGTTTTTTTCGTTTACTTGCTCCGTTTAAAGAGTAAAAGCAAGATAAGCAGACAGATAGATAGGTTAAGGATAGTTGCATGTACAGATAGTATAGTAGACAGATAGGAAGGAGAAGTAAGATAGATAAGATAGAGGGATATGTATATATATATATATAAGTTATATATTAATATAAATATATATACATATATATATATTATATTATACTATATATATATATATATATATATATTAATATATATAATGTTATATAATTACAGATATATATGTTATATATGTATAGATATGTATATATATATATATATATATATATATATATTATATATATATATTATATATATAATATATATATAATAATATATATTATATATATTATATATATATATTATATATATTATATTATATATTTATATACATACATATAATATAACATAACAACACACACATGTTCACATATATACACCACACACCACACACACACACCGGCAAAAGCATTCACAGCACACACATTATACACAACACCACACACACCACACACCCACAATCACACACACAAACACACACACACAACACACCATCGACCACAACACACACACACATCTTATATATATATTTATATATATATATATTTATATTATATTATATATATATATATATAGTATATATATATTATATGTAATATATAATACATACACACTCACACACACACACACACACACACCACATGCACCACACACACATCAACACACACACACACACACACACAGCACTACTACATAGCAACAACACCACACACAACAACACA